TAATAAAAAATATAAATATATTAAACTTGTATTTTAATAACTAGAGATAATTTTAAAAATTAACATTATATTCTCAGCAAAATACTTGTAAACCAAAGGTTACAATATTAATTTTTTTACATTTTAATTATTATTTTATTTACATACCAAACACTATAATGTTATTTTTTCTACAATCATATTGCTTACAATCACATTACTTGCAATCACATTACCTGTAATTATATTACATTATAAAATATCAAACACCACTTTAATCATCTCTGGAGATACAAGCGTGGTTTGACGAGTGCAAAATCTTGTATACTGTTGCTGTTGATATTTCCTGAAAGTGGACAAACAAAATTGTATAAAGAGTACGTGTCCTTTCTTATTGAAAAAGAAAAGGAATTTAGTTAAAACTAGAATATGACATGTGCGTATTACACGGAGTTTACGCGGGTTTTTATTATTAATTTTTTTATGTTAAAAAAGATTTAAAAAAATAAAATTTAGTCTAATTATTGTAAATTTATTTTTCTTGTTTGTTTTTTCTTCAAATTTGTTATCAATTATTTTTTTCTTTGTTTCGAAGTTTACTATTATACTGTGATAGAATTATTAAGAAATATTTTTTATTTTTTAATTTTACTCTCAAGTTTGAGTAACTTAAAATTTATTTTGAAAACCTGATAAAGCTTTAAAATCTCTCCTTGAAGCCAGTTTGCTTTAAAATTTCCCTTTCAGAGCTTGTTTTAATAATGTCATCGGCGTCGTAACGACAATGGGTGGAGTTTGGTCTTTCATCCCAACCTATCGCTTTCAATATTAAAATCGGTTGAACTTCACCAGCAAGGGCGGCTGGATCTGCCTAACCTTTTGGTTACTTAATCTTCTACTAGATAAATTATAAATACAACAATTTCTCCATCTTCAATCCTACCTTGAGACTCAGAAGAATTGAGAGCAAATTCCAGTAAGCTCCAATACTAAAAAGATGATATCTGCAGAGGCTACAGTAGGCCAAATTCGATGGGTTAAGGAGGCTGTCAGATTCAGCTGGCTCCATGAAAGCAAGGCTTGTATCCTCACCATCAAAAGCATCATTGGTTCCATTCGAGAATTTGATGGTATCATTCAAAGATTACACTTTTTGTCTAAGCTCCATAGGTTGAGCGTATGGAAGCGGATCGAAAGTGATGACAGCAATGACGACTGTCATTTTATAATTTTTAATTTTTTTTATTATATATATAAAATTTGAGATATATAATTTCATCATTTTTAATCAAATTAAATAATATATTCTGAAATAATAAAAATTTATTTTTTAACCGATTCTCATTTAAAATCTTAGATCCCTTAGCATTGAATTTTCAACATCAATGTTTAAGTAATATATCAAATATATACACTAATAATGTTTTAATTATAAGTTTTATTCTCAATGAAAAAAAAAATGAATAAGCTCACAAAAAACTAAAAGAGTAAATACCACTTGCCCTATAACACTAACATTAACGGTAAAAACAAATTAAAAAAAAATTAGATCAAATTTACATGATTAACCTCTTACCATAATGGTAGAAAATCCAAAGAGAATTAACGAATTTTTGTTGGAAGTCAATTTAAGTCATAAAGAGAAATTTGTCTTTCAATTAGTGTGGTGAAGATATGGCGCGCGTTTTTTATTAACAAAGTAATTAGTAAAAGGTGTAATTTAATAAATAAAAAAAATTGGAGTACCATATTATATATTTTTTTAACTTCAGGTATAAAATTGAGCATTTGACTATAATATAAATATTAATTAAGTAATTACTCTAAATATATTGAAGAGTGGTGTAAGAAAACAGTAAAGTAACAAGAGCTTCCAAGTCTCGTTAATTGGAGAACAATATATTTTTTTTTACTTCCAGGCAATTTTCTGGCTACATTGACGTTGATGACAATGCTGGTAAAAGTTTGTTCTATTATTTTGTCAAAGCTGAAAACGATCTAGCGAACTGACCTCTGACTATCTGGCTAGCTGGAGGTTAAGCTTTTCAATTACACCTTTATTTTGGTATTTATTTTGATTGATGAATCAAGGTTAGGTAGCAACATTTATTTGTATGTATTGACTAAATGACAAAAAGTGTTCAACCCAATATTTTCCTTATTTTCTTTTATTTTTGTCAACATTTGGTAAAACTTTCCTTCATTGTTTCTTACAGATAAAGACCTACTTACATTCATACTCCAATGGTTTGAAAAATATCCCAATTTTAAGTCTAGAGATTTATATCTTGACGGATCAAGCTATGCAGGTTCGAAAAATAATCATTTTATTTTTCCATCTTAAAGTCAAATAAGTTCAGTGTAGGTTAATTGATTTTAGGATTTGATGAAGACTTAAATAATGTTAATGAAAAATGAGAAGAATTGGTCCCTAAATACATATTTCATTTACCTTATAATAGTTTAATGTTTGGTTCAGGACACTTCATACCCAATTTGGCCAATGCCTTGGTTGAATACAACAAACAATCAAACAATTTCAAGTTCATCATCAGAGGATTGGCAGTAAGAAGAAACTTGATCTAACAACTCTAAATCCTTTTGTTTAATTAGTTGTCTCAATGAAATATTTTCTTAACAATTTTAAGTCTGTTTATTTTTCTTTTTTGATTTGTAAATAGTTGGGAATCCGCTTCTTTGAAATAAACTAGACAAGCTTGCAATATATGATATCTTTTGATCACATGGGATGATTAATATTAACTTGCACCAAGAAATCTTGAAAGAATGCAATGGAATTGACGAAGACAACTATTCCAATAATGCTACCAAATGGTCCAAATTATGCCAAGAAGCCATGGATAAAGCCGAATTGGCTGCTTTTGTTGTATCTTCCATTAATGTAGCTAAGGCAAGCCACTTTGATGTTCGCCGTGCATCTTGTAATGAAAATTGGGAAGACCTTGTGTTAGGAAAAGAAGTATTCATCTTGTTTATTTGTATATTAATGTGAAACTTATTCATTCTTCTTTTTTACTGCGTTCGATATATTAATCCTTTTCCTGTTGTTACAGGTTATCAAGGTTAGTTATGAAATAGATATGTGTATTTTTTTTAAGGTAGATTTCTATTTCAACATTTCGAAAGTTCAAAAAGCTTTTCATGGATCGAACCAATTTAGGGTATCAATGGAAGGGTTGTTTTGAGTAAGTTCTCTTATGTATTAAACTTTGGCACATGGTGGGATCTATGTTAATTCTTTTTTTGATACATACGAGCTGTGCACAAGTGAGGTTGATTTTGAACATTATATCTCAATTCTTCTGAAGAGAGTGATGATCGTTAAGACAAGTGTGAATTGTTAATAGATTTGTGTTCAAATAGTCCAATGACACGAAACTAATGGTCATACCCTTTTGTTTTTCCTTTTGAATTCTTCTTAATCTATTAGGAAAAGTGGTCTTAAATATAGCGATGCTGATAAAGACATTGCCATACTTCCTGTTTTAAAAAAAATTCTCCAACAGTCAATTCCTATTACAATATTCAGGTTTGTATTACATAAAAATAAAATTAAAACAAGTTTTAGTAAATAACTAAAGTAGAAATTCTCTGGTTGACATTTTTATTTTATTTTCCTGTCCAATATCATGTTACAGTGGAGACCAAGATGCTATAGAACCAACAGTTGGAACCTTAAACCATGTAAACAAGTTAGCCAAGGACATGAATTTGAATTTGACAAAAGATGAAGCTTGGAATCATGAAAACAACGTTATTGATTTATCTATTTTAATTATTTATTTATCATTTTTCCTAATTGATACCATATTAATTTTTTTTTTTTATTAATGAACATGGTGGAGGTTGGATGTGCTCGTACGGCAATTTACTGACATTGATGACTGTAAAAAGGGCTAATCATCATGTGACTTTTGCAAAACCGCCTTAATTTATCTTCACAAATATTGTAATTAATCGATCGCATTGAGTTAGTCAATTCCAACAAGACCTTGAAGTCTGATATTCTTTTCTTCTTTTTTCAAAAGAAAAAATGAAAAAAAATCACGGTAATTTTATATTTTGTTGCAATAAAATAGCATTGTTTTATGAACAAAGATCTTTGCTTTAATTTTAGTGTTGCTATTTTATTCTATACTCAATAATTATGCATTTTGTTAGGATACATAAAGGCTGTAGTAATGGTTGGACTAGATGAAGAAGAAAAAACAAAGAAAATTTTTTCACCATATATATAGAAGTAGACCTGTCAAAATGGGCCGAGCCCATCGGGTCGATTCATTTTTATTAAATATAGAGTGGGTTAGGTTGAAAATTTTTGACCCATATTTGAACTAGGCCTAAATGGGCCAGCCCACAAAATTAGTGGGCTGATGTGGGCTGGGCAGGGCCAGCCCCATGAACCAAAAAAATAATTTTAATTAATTTAATAATTTTATATATTTAATTATAAAAAATCAATAATTTAGTTACCAATAATATTGTTTATTTTATATATTTCAATGTCTTTAATCTTCACTTGTCAAATTAAAAATTTTAATTTAAATTAAAACTTTTTATCTCTTTTTCTTTTATGTAATGAATATTAGATGATAAATTGATAATAATTCAGACCTTGAGACATCATTGCTGTCTAAACAAGATTTAAATGTTTTACTTGAGAATGAAGATTGAGGAGGATATAAATGAGTCTTGAAATTTTTATTATTTGGTTATATACTTATGTTTATGAGATAGTAGTTTGTGTTAAAGATTTAAACTTTATTATGTAATTTATTTATTTTTTTATATTTGGTATAATTATTTATTTGTAACATGTTTTTATTATTCAATTTATGAATTAAATTATAGAACAATTTTATTAATAAAAAATTTATAAAGTAAAATTATAAAAATTAAATTTTTTTTGAAAAAAATAAAAATAGGCTGGTCCAACCCAACCCATGAACTAACAAGAGGTGATCTGGGTTGAGGTTTTAATGGCTCATATAAAAAATGAGCTGACCCGGCCCAATTTATATTTTTTAACCCACAAGGGCTGGGGCCGGGCTGGGCCGAGCCAGCCCATATTGACAGCTCTATATTTTTTCTCTTTTTTGTGTCTCCTCTCTCTCTCTACTTGAAGCAATCTTTTACGAAATGGTAGGTTGGAGAAATGTCTTAATCATTGCCCCTCTATTACCAAAGAATATTTGTTTCTTCTTTGGTTACCAAATGACATAAGGAATAGCCATTCCTTTACAATCTCTATTCCTCAAAATTACCCAAAATTAAAGATTAGCTAATTTTTCACGGTGTTTACTATTTCATGGGTGGGAGAATAGCTCTTAAAATTAATAAGATAAAAATGCCCCTAATAAGTGAAAATGAAAAAAAAATAAAAAAAAGAATTTAAAATAAAAAGTTTAAGTGTTTAATTATATATTATAAAAAAATAATATTTCAAATTTAAAATTAATTAAAATTATTAATATTTTAATCATAATAATATTTAAATTATAAATAAAATATTAATATTTAAAAAAATTATAAATTTAAAAATAAAATAAAATAGATAATCATATATTGTAATAAACAGTTTAAGTTTTTAATTATATATTATAAAAACTTGATATTTTAAATTTAAATTTAATTAAAATTATTAATATTTTAATCATAATAATTTTTAAATAATAAATAAAATAGTAATATTTTAAAATGTTAATGATTAAATTATAAGTAAAACATTAATATTGAAAAATTTTATTATTTAAATGATCAATTAGTAATATTTTAAATTAATTATAAATTATTAATATTTAAAAAATAAAATAAAATAGATAATTAATCATATATTATAATAAAATTCAAGTTTTTAATTATATATTATAAAAAAATTAGTATTTTAAATTTAAAAATTAATTAAATTTATTAATATTGTAATCATAATAATATTTAAATTATAAATAAGATATTAATATTTTAAAATATTAATGATTAAATTATTAAATAAAATATTAATATTTTTAAAAAATTATAAATTTAAAAATAAAATAAAATAGATAATCATATATTGTAATAAACAGTTTAAGTTTTTAATTATATATTATAAAAACTTGATATTTTAAATTTAAAAATTAATTAAAATTTTAATATTTTAATCATAATAATTTTTAAATAATAAATAAAATAGTAATATTTTAAAATGTTATTGATTAAATTATAAATAAAACATTAATATTGAAAAGTTTTATTATTTAAATGATCAATTAGTAATATTTTAAATAAATTATAAATCATTAATATTTAAAAAATAAAATAAAATAGATAAATAATCATATATTATAATAATAGATAAAATTTTTAATTATATATTATAAAAAATTAATATTTTAAATTTAAAAATTAAATAAATTTATTAATATTGTAATCATAATAATATTTAAATTACAAATAAGATATTAATATTTTAAAATATTAATGATTAAATTATAAAATAAAATATTAAAATTTTGGAATGTTAGCATTTAAATTATCAGTTATTAATATTTTAGATAAATTTTAATTTATTTTTATTTTAAAAAAATAGATTAAAAATAAATAATCATATATTATAATAAAAGATAATTTTTATCTTTTTATCATTTAGGTTTTTATTATTTCAAAATTATTTTTACTTACTAAAAATTACTATAAGTTATAATGATAAATTTTATATTATTTGATTCCATCAATCAAATTATATAATAGTATTTTTATTTTATTTTTATCATATTTTATTTTTGTAAAATACTTATTCTATTTCATTGCATTTTATTTCGTGAATCAAATTAATAAAAATTGAAAACAAATAATTCTGATAAGCCCCAAAACTAAAAGATGATATCTGCAGAGGCTACAATAGGCTGATTCAAGTAGGCCAAATTCAATTGGTTAAAGAAGCTGTCTGGTTCAGCTGGCTCCACGAACGCAACGCTTGAATTCTCACCATCAAAAGCATCATTCGTTCAAGGATTGCGGTCTTTGACTAAGGCCCTACTAGTGAGCACTTGAGAGTGAACGACGTTGGTGACGGCTGTCATTGCCACCCCTCAGTTAATCGGGAACGACGTTGGTGACGGCTGTCATTGTCACCCCTTAGTTAACAGGGAACGACCATGGTGACGGCGCCATTGTCACCCCTTAGCTAACAGGGAACAAGTTGGAGACGGATAGAACGAAGTTGGTGAAGGGTTGTCATTGTCACCCATTAGTTTATTAATTTTTTTATTATTACATGCATAAAATTAAAAATATAATTTCATTATCTCAAATCAAATTAAACAGTCTATTCTTAAATAGTGATAAGTTAGTAACTTATATTTCTCACGTAAAATATTAGATATGCCAACACTGGGTTCTCAGCTTTAATGTTCAAGTAATTTATCAAATATATATGTTAATAATATTTCAATTATGATTCTTGTTTTCAATAGAAAAAATGAATAAGATGACTAAAAACTAAAAGGGTAACTACCACTTGCCCTATAAATCTAACATTAACGGTAAAAACAAATCAAAAAAAAAATTGAGACCAAATTTACATGGTTAGCCTCTTAGCATAATGGTAGAAAAGCCCATCAGAATTAACGAATTTTGGTTAGAAGTCAATTTAAGTTGTAAGGAGAAATTTGTCTTTCAATTAGTGAGGTGAAGACATGGTACAGGTTTTTTATTAACAAAGTAATTAGCAAATTGTGTAATTTAATAAATGAAAATAAAATTGGAGTACCGTATTTTATATATTTTTTAATTTAAGGTATAAAATTGAACATTTGATTATGATATAAATATTAATATGTAATTATTCTAAATATATTGAAGATTGATAAAAGAAAACAATAAAGTAATAAGTGCTTCCAAAAAATTGGAGTAACGGCGTTTATTTGTGAACAAACGCAGTAACAGCTAGATTTCCTAACCCGATCAGTACTTACATTGAGAGATGGTGAGCTACCGATGGATCAAACCTATAACCGACTCAAATTCGGCCATGATGGTGTATATATTACAGTTCTGAAGTCAAAGAAAGCTCCAAGAGTACCTTCAACAGCTCAATTCCTTTCCTTCTTCTTTTGCTTTGGTTAGCTTTCCATCGCTTCTTGATCGTAGGCTCTCATTCTCATGGACAGCATGAGTACCATGGAGTGTGGTCCAGTAGCAGTAACAGAAGGATTTTCTTTTAGGTATGATACGTGCATACGATGGATCAAACTGAAGACTCTTGGCAGGGGTTCATATGGAGTCGTGCATTTGGTGAAGATAATAGAAACTGTTCCTCGCGTATTTGCTGTTAAACGTTCTCCTCCTCCATGCTCCTCACTCTGGAAGGAATATCGTATCCTTCAACAGTTTCGTGGTTGCCCTAATATTGTTCAATGCTTTGATATGCTGACCATTATTGAATCTGAGGTGCCGAAATACAACTTGTTTCTTGATTATGCCCCTGGTGGGGATCTTCTGAATTTGATCAAGAAATATGGCGGTAAAATACCAGAATCTCATGTAAAGTCCTACACGAGAATGTTGCTTGAAGGGCTTCGTGAAGTTCATAAGAGAGGTTACGTCCATTGTGATCTCAAACCCGGAAACATTCTTGTTTATCCCTCTGATCAACCCGATTCGCTTAGTACCCTGAAGATTGCTGATTTTGGCTTAGCCAAGGAACCTGAAGAAACAGATGGGCCAAGGACAAGTCCTTACGAGCCTACTTTTCGAGGTACTGCGCTTTACATGTCACCAGAATCTGTCAAGGATGGGAATATCACTGCTGTTTTGGACATATGGTCGCTAGGATGCGTTGTTGTTGAGATGATGACTGGAAATCCACCTTTGGGATCTGTCACAACTTATGAAAAGTTGGCGATGAAGATTGCATCGACAGATTATATACCAGATATACCCCAAGACATGTCAAACTTAGGGAAAGATTTCTTGATGAAGTGCTTTGCTAAGGATCCTCGGAATCGTTGGACTGCTGCTATGCTGAGAAGTCATCCTTTTACCTATCTTGACAGTACATATTTTACAACGAAAACAAGCTTTCTTCAAGTTCCTTCAGGAGAAGCTTCAAATCCTTGGGGAATACAACCTGTTATCTAGCATATGGGCAATTTTTTTTTTTTTAAGCAATGCTTAATGTCTATTCCAATGGAACTCATGGAGTTTCCCCAATTGCTCATGCTTCATGGAGGATGTAATCATCTTTGCATAGATTATCTTTATCTTATATAGTAGTAAGTCTTTTTGTCAAGGATGAGTTTAATTAGTTAAATTGTTTTTTCAATGATGAGTTTGATTAAATATGATTTTCGTTTCTACAAATCATTTATTGATACTAAATGCTACAAAGAAGCGAAATATGGATCAATATGAATTATTTCTACGCTGAGTGATATATATAGTTATGGGATTCTCTTAATAGAAACTTTCACAAAAATCATTATCTAATGAAATAATTGATATTGCGAATGCCAATTCATTGAGAATAGAGGTAGAATATTTCATTCTCAAATCAAAGAGACTTTAGAAACTAATAGCCAGGAAGAAGATAGTAGGGAGCATAAAAATTACATATTACATAAATAATAAACACAGCAATGTCTTCTTTTTCAGTACTACCATGGAACGCGTATGAATTGAGAACAAATTCCTGCAAGCTCTCTTGGAGATCAATACTGAAACATGACATCTGCAGAGTTTACAATGGGCTGATTCAAATAGGCCAAATTCCATGGGTTTAGGAAGCTGTTGGATTCAGCAGGCTCCATGAAAGCAAGGCTTGGATCCTCATCATCAAAAACACTATTCAAGAAACTGATGATTTCATTCAAAGACTGCAGCCTTTGGCTAAGCTCCATAAGATGAGCTCTCATCTCTGAGTTCTGGGCCTCTATGGTCAGGTAATGCTGGGTGGTGAAGTTTATTCTTGTAATGATCGGAACATGAAAGTTTCCGCACATGAAATTAGAGAAATCTTGATGTCAATCGTTATTAGTTTGCCAAAGATGTATATTAAACCATGCAACAAAGAGAACTAAAGAGTGAAAATGAATTCTTCTCAGTTCCTATAATAATAAAACTAGGTAGACAGTAGTTATTATATGAATGCTTATTAGTACACTAAAAGAATAGAACTGAGTAGATAGCAGCTTGTGTATTAACTACTTGCGAAGCCAGCGCTGGCCATACCCGGACATATTCACATTTATTCTGGCTGGTTGTTTGGAAAATATAACTGTCTTGTCTCAGTAGCACAACTTATGCTGGAAGTTTCCCCTTGGATTGAAGCAGTCTGATATGCTCTTCTAAGTGTCTGTCCTGGGTAGTCAACCGTCGTGTTTCCTCTTTTAACTGTCTGTTCTCGGTACTCAACCGGCCAATTACCTCTTGCAAGCATTCGTTCTGGGTAGTCATTTCATTTAAGTTGCAGAAATGAAATGAAAGGGATCTTGATATGAATGCTTATGAGTTTGGAAACTTCAGATGGTCCTACTCGATTCAATTCGTGTTGGTCTGCTTGAGAGTGTACCAGTGCCTCATTGGTATAATGCTGAAAAGCTTCTAATTCTCCATCCTCCATGTTTCCCGATGTAGAATTCAGCTTTTGCAGACTGAGAGATTGACAGATTCTTGCTGATTTAGACAATTGAACAAGTCAGAATAAAACACTATGCTACAAATCACGATGCTGGAAATCGTATAAAATCTTAGATAGGAAGGTAGTGAAAGACTAATGTTGCAGATGTGTATCAACTCTAAGAACCCAAAACAGAGAAATGATACAAAATAGAGATTGAGCCTTCTATGCAGAACCCTCCATAAATCCTGGAAGCAGAATTCCATGGAAGAACTAGAATCATTGTCACAGTAACTTGAAGAAGATGAAAATTCTATTCTATTAAACCACCAACAGCTAAGCTATATAAAATCAAACAGAAAGAAGAGAAGCTGATTCAGAACCTTATAAATCAAACTACACAAACAAAATTCAAGCTCGAAGAAGGAAAGCCAATGCTCACCAAAACAAAATTTGCCCAGAATCTTGCTTTGCTTGGAAATTCCAGTACGCAATGAACCAAATTCACTTTCAACAACACAATCAGTAAACCATTGGATGAACTTAGTGTGAGCCGTCCGATTAAGACGCAAGCAAATCTATTCAATCGATCACGCGAGAAAGAGAGAAAACCGGGGACATGGCCAGCCTCTCTATTTCAACTATCACACTGTAGTTAATCCTCCATTCTATCCCAAATGCACGAAAACTCCACGTTTGTCGTTTGCTTTGATCTTCCTGTCGTTTTCTTTGTTCACTGATCATTGGCTCGGAGAGTTCAGACTTCCGAGTCCACATTCAATCAGAAGTTTATGAATTCAAAGTTGGATTCAAACAGGTGAAGTTTGAGCAGTTTCGAGTGTTCATTAAATCAAATAGTTCCATTCCTTATACAATTATTAGTTAGAAAAATTATGCATGCATGGATTTGGATTAATTAGTTGTACTACTTTCCAATAAATTAATCGTCACACTATTCGGATTTAACTTAAATGATAAGGTTGGAGTGAAATTCACATAATTCAAGTAAAATTTTATATTTGAGTTGTGTTGGTCCTGTTGTACGGAAAGAGAAATATTTGTTATTGAATGTAAGATCATAGGAAACTTAATTTAATTCATATGAGATAACGTTAATTAACAAGAAAAATATAATTAAAACCTTTTAGGAGAATATTTAGTTGATTAGGTGTTTTAACTGTTTATATTAGTACATAGAGAGTAATAATTTAATTCACTTATTCGGCATAAAGGCCAAAGCACCAAAAACCTTGTTAAACTCAAATCCAAAGAGCCCAATAAGTATATAATCCAAGTCGGCCCTAAACAAAAAAACCAAGTTGATTTACGTATGTTACTCCCATACAGTCTAAAATGCTGCCTCTTTATATATTACTCCCATACAGTCGGAAAAGTTCTTGACTTATTTTTAAAAATTTTAATTTTTTATTATATTTAATTAAATATTTATGTTTTTATTTTAAATTAAATAAATATTAATAATTAATTAATTATTAATAATCAATATATTAACATGTCACGATATAAAATGACAAATAACATATTAATTAAGTTAATTATTAATTATAAAAATTTACTTAATTCAAAATAAAAATATAAAAATTTGATTAAAAGTAATAAAAGAATAAGAATCTATTTGAATTTTTCTAAATATAATTTAAGAGTATTTTTAGATATTATGTCTTTACATATATGCTCATTAACCTTAAAGCAAACAAACTAACAATTTAGATAAAACCAAATAAGAGATTCGAGTTTTATATTTTTTTAAGAGAGAAGTCATACGCCAATCAAAAAGATAAATGCTCGAGTGTTAGTTTTGGTTTTAGATTATTCATTAGGATTGTCTATTTGACAACATATAAAAATTTGGATTTGAAACAAGTGTTCATGGATAATAATAGACGGAAAATGTTCTTCCTTTCCAAATTATCTCAAACGAAAAGCATGCATGAAAAGCTTGGATCCATGGTGGAAGCAAATAGTGCTCAATTTATGCAAAACTCAAAAGCCATTGTTATTACATATGACAAAGCTCAAGTTCATGGAGCAAGTATTCAAACATAAACATACAAGGCAATCCTACTAGAGTATTTCACAGTACAAAACTGACTTTTACACAATGATGAGTGTATCTGTTAGAGATGGATCTCTGTTAGAGATTAGATCCAAACGCATTCTTGATCCCTTAACCTGAAAAGCTTTTAAGTTTTTAAGTTAGGGATCAAAAATATGTTTCAACTTAACCTCTGACGATGTTGAAGAGTTATACAGATGACGCACTGCACGTTAATAACAGTATGGCTAAGGTGAGTAAACTGTACTGTTACTGGGGTGACAAACGTGACCTGTAGAACTCTTCAACATTAGTATCTTCTGAGAAAATCCCATCTCCCATCTGCAACTTCAGAAACCACACAAGTAAAAGAAGAAACAAGTTGAAAAGTAAAGAACCGCACACCTAGAATCTATGGTATTCGGATATGGATACGTGTCTATCCGAATCCGTTATTGGTATACTGGGAGAGTCTAAGGAAATAAACCAGTGCTGACAGACTTGCCAGAAAAGTCCTCTGCATCACCCAGGCAGTCCTGGAAACTCTCGTATGTTTGAGCACGTTCCTGGTACAAGGCCTCCAATTTGTCATCTATGCTCTGGAGTACTTGTGTTCCTGCCAGGCCGAAATATGCCCGCGCTATTTTCTTAAGATGATTCATGGCAAAATCCACGTTGAAATTGATGCGGAGAGCATCCTTGATGGCATCTCGCCATTTCAACATTTTCTCTAGTGAAAGCTGATCAAGGTGGAGATGCTCCATCTCTTTGATTGTAGCACAGAAAACTATATAGATTTGGCCTGTAACAATGGGGTTCATTAAACTCGAAGCTGAAACATCACCATAGACACTAACAAGCCTTTCAACGGTCGGAACCAAAGAGAGTGGGAAGCTGTATCTTCCAATTGTTTTGTGCTCCCCCTCTAAAAAAATCATGAAGTTGGAGATATTAACATTGCTTTGAACATCCTCATCGATTTTCATGAGGAATTCAGCCAATGTCATGTTTGGTTGGACAGCAGGATCGCTAGTATCCAATTCATTGGACATCAGTTCGTCCGGTAAATCGTGAAGTCCCAGCCCATCAAGCTGAAACAATAAGTTTGGATATGACAAGATCCTAATTAAGTTGAAAGCATGCATGTGACAAGATTAATATAAATGCAATTAAGATCATTGCTAGTAAAACTTTAATGAAAACCTTTCCAGATTTCTAAAAACAAATGCATTCAACATGATTAGAAACAATGACCATACCTCCTCAGGAGTTCCTCCTATATTAGAGTCCATCCCCTGAGGATCCTGGGCCTGGTTAACCGAGTGGGAATCAGAATTTTCTTCTTGCTGCAGAGCTCTTGCAGGAACTTGAGAGTACTCGGCTATCAACCTTTTTATCATCTCTTCCAGGTCAGCTGTCAACCCTTGAAATCCCTTCTGCAAGGATTTGCTCCAACATTCAGTATAACAATAGAAATTAAGCTCAAATTAAAGCAGAAGAGAGAAACTTAAACATCAAATCATTTGCCACCAGGGAAAAAAAAGGAAGAGAAAGAGATTTCTTGACCTTCTTGTCTTTCTTCCTCTTATCTATTCTCCTTTGAAATTGATTTACACTTCCACAACCTCTTGTCTGAGGTCGGTTTGAAGCTTTTGATTGTCCCATAGGAGAATGCATCTGTCAGCCAAAATTACCCACCTGAAAGTTCCAATTACTTTGGTTATTCACCTTTGCTATAACATTAAAACCCCTTGCAGGTTAAAAGATTGCAGATCCTGATCTAGACAATTGAATAATCTGCCCAAAAATCTCATAATCAATAACCCCATTGATCTGCTTGCAGAATAAAAGATTGAAAGATCATGGATGATTGACTAGAAAGTAAGTACAAGTCAACTTTAAGTCAATTACTCAATTAAAGCAGAGAAATATAGGAAAAAATAAATGAAATCAACAGAGAATGAGCCTAGACAATCTCCAGAGAATGGAAAAAAAAAAAGAAAAACACAAAGATCAAACAAGAAAAGAAAAAACAAAAGAAGCTAATTCAACTTTGGACAAGAACAAGAACACAAGGAAAACAGAATTCTATAAAATTTTCATTTCTACCAAACAAGGAAAATCAAGCACTTACCTGATTCAATATCCTATACTCAAGCTGCAAAGCAATCTCCTCTACCCTCTTGTCTTCTCAGCAACAACGTGTGAATTAAGTCTTCCAAGGAATTAAAAGACATCAAAAAAACCAAATAGAGAGACTCAGACAAGACTTTGGTTGTTGAACTTGAACCATCCGATTAGGCCCCATGAAGCTTATTGGAACCGTTAGATCATAGATGGTGAGGCACAAAGGAAATGCAGTACTCTTTTCGTTTAACTTTGTCTAGTCCATTATTAAATTCCAATCGCACGAAAGCATCAAGTGGTCGAACGTTTTTGACATTCTTTCCTCTCAGTGCGTCGGTCGCTGCCTGGCTAGCTAGTAGGAATCTGATGTGTAAAGTTACTCTCAATCTCCATTAAACTATTTTTCAGTTGGGGTCGCAAACTGTGGACGGGTTTTTCTTAAAAAAAAATTCAGGAAAAGGGAATCAAATTCTACTGCAATGGTTATGCATCAATTAACTAATCAAATGTTGGAATGTAGGTTGCCAAGCCTTCTTGGAGAGTTACATGTTTGCTGTTAGTACCATCTTTGAGCATATTTTTGCTTGCTTTACAGTATGAGAGACAATCAAAAGTGCAGCTGATAACATCTTAAAAACATGAAAGACATAAACCAAGTAAACAGACATCATCAGTGCTTACATAAACTGGAATTGATCAGCGAGCCTTCTGCTTGGTTCTGGCTGCTCAGTCTCAGTCTTGGTTTCGCCTTAAAACCTTGAATTGCACTGAACAATGAATGTAGCAGAGAGAGCCGGCAGCCTGAGACCAATTGAGGCAGCGAAGAGAATATTTTTGAGTTTCTTGCATTTCATTCATTTTCACATCCTTCATGTCTTTTTGTTCTTCAAGTAAAATGAGCTGCACAATCCAAAGCTAATTCCTAAATGGATGATTTGATATACAATTTGGTTTGACAATTAAATATTCTTCCTCTCTTCTTAGTAAATTGGCATTGGCAATATCAATTATTTCATTAGATAGTGATTTCTTTTTAACCCTATGCCTAACAGGCATTGTCACAGTAAAAGTTTAATTTGTTAACTTCTTTTTTGTGGAAGTTTCTATTAAGAGAATCTCATAACTACAAATATCACACAGTATAAAAATAATTTAAGTTGATCTGTATTTTTCCTTCTTTGTAGCATTTAGTATTAATAAATTATTCATATGTACGAAAATTTAATTTAATTAAACTCATTTTACTACTATATAAGATAAAGAATAATCTATGCAAAGATGACCACATCCCCATGAGGCATGAGCAATTGGGAAACTCCATGAGTTCCATCAGAATAGACATTAAGCATTGCTCAAAAAAGAATAAAAAAAAAAGGGTTTAAGACGATGCCCATCTGCTAGACAACGGGTTGTATCTCCAAAGGATTTGAAGTTTCTCCCAAAGGAACTTGAAGAAAACTAGTTCTTGCTGCAAAATTTGCACTCTTACGATAGATATAAGGATGATTTTTCCGCCCAGCAGCAGTCCAACGATCCCGAGGATCCTTAGCGAAGCACCTCATCAAGAAATTTTTCCCTAAGGCTGACATGTCTTGGGGTAAATTTGGTATGTAGTCTGTCAATGCAATCTTGGTCGCCAAGTCTTCATAAGTTCTGACAGATTCCCAAGGTGGATTCCCGATCATCATCTCAACAATAACGCATCCTAGCGACCATATGTCCATAGCAGCAGTGATTTTCCTATCCCTGACAGATTCTGGTGACATGTAACGCGAAGTGCCTCGAAAAGCAAGCCCGGGAGGCCTTGTCGTTGGCTCATCTGAATCTGCAGGTTCCTTGGCTAAGCCAAAATCAGCAATCTTCAGGGTACTAAGCGAATCGGGTTGATCAGGGGGATAAACAAGAATGTTTCCTGGTTTGAGATCACAATGGACGTAGCCTCTCTTATGAATATCATGAAGTCCTTCAAAGTAACATTCTCGTCTAGGACTCTACATGAGATTCTGGTATTTTACCGCCATATTTCTTGATCAAATTCAGAAGATTCCCACCAGGAGCATAATCGAGAAGCAAGTGGTAACTCGGCTCCTCAGATTCAGTGGTCAGCAGATCAAAGCACTGAACAATATTTGGGCAACCTCGAAAGTGTTGAAGGATGCGGTATTCCTTGCAAAGTGCGGAGCGTGAAGAAGGAGAAGAATGTTTAACAGCTAATACGCAGGAAACGGGGATTATTATCTTCGCCAAATTCACGACTCCAAATGAACCCATGCCCAGATTCTTCAGTTTGCTCCATCGTATGCACGTACCATACTTAAATGAAAACCCTTCGTTTACTGCTACTGAACCAGGAGCCACGAAAGCCAGCCAACCAAAGCAAAAGGAGAAGAAACAGAGTTGAAGAAACTCTCTTAGAGCTCTCTTTGACTTCAGAACTGTAATATATATATGTATATACCATGAAAGCCGAATTTAATTCGGTTATGGATTAATCCAACGGTAGCTCTAATATCATCTCTCAATATAAGTACTGATGGAGTAAGGAAATCTAAGTGTTAGTGCCTTGTTATGAAATTAACGCGGTGACTCCAATTTTCATGGAAGCTAATATTGTTACTGTGTATTGTTTTCTTCCATAACTCTTCAATATATTTAAAATAATTACATAATTAATATTTATATTATAGTCAAATGTTCAGTTTTAAAGCTTGGGTTAAGAAATATAAACTATGGTACTCCAATTTTATTTTCATTTATTTATTAAATTACACATTTGACTAATTTGTGATTAATAAAAGATAAGAAAAGAAATTGTATGAGCTTGGGCCCAAACCGAGAATGGGTTACAAGTTGGACCCAAACATGAGATAAAGGTAAGACCTTTCCTATCCCTACTTCTCTAGTTCTCGTTTTTTCAACCCTAGTCGAAAGCCTTCTCTCTCTAACTCTCACGCACAGACGTGTCTTAGGGTTAGGGTTTTTGAGTTAAGAGTCCCCAAAAATGCAAGGCATGGATCCAACGAAGAAACGGAAGCTGGATGAAAACGGGATCGTTTCAACCCAATCGGAACCCGACCCGATCACCAAACTAACGCCACAAGACGGCCGCAAACTAATCGAGCGATTCTCCGTCGACCAACTCCTCGACATCCTCCAAGACGCCGTGTCTCGCCACGTGGACGTCCTTGCTGTCGTTCGATCTGTAGCCGACCAAGACCCGGCTCAACGGAAGCTCTTTATCCGCGGCTTGGGTTGGGATACTACCACTGACGGCCTCCGTTCACTCTTTTCCGTCTATGGGGAACTCGAGGAAGCGGTTGTTATTCTCGACAAGGCCACTGGGAAGTCAAAAGGGTATGGATTCGTTACGTTCAAGCATGTCGATGGTGCTTTGCTTGCTCTCAAAGAACCCAGTAAGAAAATCGACGGGAGAGTCACGGTGACCCAGTTGGCGGCGGCGGGGAATTCGGGGACTAATAATAACCCTGTGGATGTTCATATGAGAAAGATTTATGTAGCCAATGTGCCGTACGATATGCCGGCTGATAAGTTATTGGGTCATTTTGCTCAGTATGGGGAAATAGAAGAGGGTCCTTTGGGATTCGATAAGCAGACGGGGAAATCAAGGGGATTTGCTCTTTTTGTTTATAAGACGGCGGAAGGGGCTCAGGCTTCATTGGTGGAGCCAGTGAAGAACATTGATGGGAGACAAATGAATTGTAAGTTGGCTATTGAAGGGAAAAAGGGGAAGCCAGGACAAGATGGGATGATGCAAAGTGGGGGTGGCGCTCCAGGGAATGCTGAGATGGGGATTGGAGGGCATGGGGGAGGATATGGTGGGCCTGGTGGACCGGCCGGTTTGGCTGGTTACGGTGGGTATTCTGGTGGGTTGCAAGGGCCGCCGGGTCCAATGGGGCAGCCTCATCACTTGAGTTCATCAGGAGTTGGAGTGGGAGCTTTGACTGGGAGTGGAGGAGGTGCTGGTAGTGGGGGGTATGCTTCTGGGCTTGGTGGGCTGTATGGTGGGTACGGTGCTCCTGGTTCAACTGGCTATGGGTTAAGCGGTGCTGGTGCGGGGAGTGGGTTGACTGGTGCTGGTGGAGGGTCCTCGTTGTATAGGTTACCGCCAAGTTCTGTCGGGATGCCAACAGGTGGATATCCGGAGAGTGCTCATTATAGCTTGTCTTCGTCATCTGCTTTCCCTAGTCAGCATCACCAAGGATCTGGGACATCCCCTGTGCCAAGAGTTCCACCTGGTGGAATGTATCCAAATGGACCACCTTTCTACTGAGGTAGTTGTCCTTGATTTTGCATTCTGTGTTCTAATTCATTTCTATTACATGAGGCATTATGTGTTCTAATTTTGACTCTCTGGTGATTAGTTTAGAATGACTTAATGTCTGTATTTGTGATTGCTCATGTGCTTTATTGTGGATGTTTGTTCCTTGTGTGTGATTGCTTGAAACTTTGGTTCTTTCCCAGCTTTGTTTTCTGAGTTGTGTTGCTCGTGAGCTATATTTTTGTATCATTGTGTACATTAGTGATTTTTCTTTTGCTTTGTGTCGGTTACACTATAGATAGTCACAATTTCTAGTGTTTTCAAATGGTTTTTCACTGTTTCATATTAGCTTTACATCTTCTATATGCTCATATTTTTGAACTTATGTATAGGTAACCTTATCTATGTGTGGCTGATGGTTGATTTTTATTTTTATTTTTTATTTCAGTATTGCATCAAGGGTTCCTGCTTTGTGTGTTACCCCATATAGTGTCTTACCCTGTATAGAAATACGTTATTCACCTTTCGAGTTCTGGTTTTTGAAAGACATATTACGATCTATGTTTAATCATATCTAAGAAATTTCTTTAGTAGGTTGTGAATTTTACTGATTGCTGGCCTGAATGAATTATTGTGTTGATAAGAACAAACATTCCCGAGAACTATTTTTAAATTGAAATGTTAGTAAATGCGTATACATACAACTGTTTTAAGTACACATGTTAAACTATTTTGGTTAATTTTACTTTGGTGATAATGTTAGAGAACAAATTTTACTGTTGAGATAACATGAAATGTCCATCTGTGGAATCATTTTTTTTATATGTTATCCATTTTATGCAGTTGTGTACCTCTCCATTGGGAGTATTATTTAATAATATATTTCTGTATTGCCTGTGAATGTGCTCTTCATTTGATTTGCATCATGGGGTAAGAAGATAAGAGTGAATTTCTATCTAGAATGGTGCCTCCTATGAGAAATTAATTCCAGTTCAACTTACCTTAAACATTTCATTTTTGTATAGTAGATTATATCTTTGGCGTTCATCTTTCTTATGAGTTTGTTTTTGGTTGCCTGGCATGGGCTTTTGCTGTTGATTTCCAACGTTAACTAATCTAGGGGAATATTCTACCCATTGATTTAAAATGAAATTTGGATTGCACTATTTGATGTTCCAAACTCTCTTTAGAAAAACTTTTCCATCACTATGGAGTTATTTTGACTTTTACCAGTTGTATTGCATGATGATTTATGATACTGTTTAGATATCTTTTTATATTTGATTTGGTATGATTGTGGCGGTAGCTTTTGCATTTGCTGTTTTTGTTTGTTTGACATGTGACAAAAGTCTGAGCTGAGCCATTCAAGTAAGTGCAGTGTTCGTGTTTGTTTCACAAGTTTTACTGCAAGACATTCCTTTAAGTTTCACGAGTTTTACTTCCAAGACATTCCTTTAAATTTGCGTTGATCTTTGTTTTGCTTGATGACGTGGAATGATGAATTGAGTTGTCAATGGGTGTTTGATTCAGGTTTATGACAGCTTGTTGGGCGCAGATGCTTTTTGTGGTTCTGGTGATTGCGTGAATGCAGACTATTTATACTCTGGCTTGATGAATGTATTAGCTGGGCTTTTTAACAGCCACTTCTCTTGATCTGAGCCTTTAAGATGTTTATTTCTTAGTGCTGGTTGGCAAAACTTGTGATCTAGACTAGTTTTCTATGTTTTATGAGGAACCTATTTTCCAGTGGGGCCTTTTAGTCATTAGTATAGTTTTAATAATATAAGTAGTGACAAAATCTTTCGCCTATTTTTTGCTAGTGTCTATGGTTGTTGCTGTATCTTCTCTACTTGGAAGTTTATTTCTATGTTCTTTGATATTGCTATTCATGTTAATTTTTCTATTATGTACTCTGATGGAATATATTAAAAACAAACATGCAGCTTAGTTATATTGAAATTAATTGTAGCTTTTTATTTTGATATGTAAATTAATGGATGTAGATAACCTGCTTCAAAATATATATATATATATATATATATTACTATCATTTTTATTATATAAATGAGTTTTACTGCATCAGCTAAATAATACCCATTTCCAATGTAATTAATTGCAATCTTGTTACAACTTTTGCTGTACCTATCATAATAATGTGTTAAATTGCCACCAAAGACGTCTACAAGATTTTTGTGTCATCATTTTATTATTTAGTGGCAAGAGTTTTTGCTAGTCTTCTTCTGATGCTTTCTCGATGTGCTTATCATCAAGTGGAGGTGTTTCTGGTTTCCTGAAATGTGTATACAATTGGTGTTGTCGTGTTGTGCTCACATAACATGGACTTTTGAGCGGTTCTTGTTTCACTGAAGAATCTATTGATGTGGGAGCAGCAAGTATCTCATTAAGTTTGCCGATGATTTGTCGCTTATTTCTTTTAATTTAGTGTTGCTAATTGTTGAGTGTTGATGTACATAATTGACAGTTTGATTGTATTATCATCTGTTTGGCCTTAGTTGGGTTTTGTTGGCTTTGTAAATGAACTCTTGCTTTGACTTTTCCGATTCATTGGTAACAGTTTTACCACCCTTTGCTGCAACTGTCTGTGGTGGCTGTCTTTGTTGGTCACCTTATTTGTTATTCGCAGTGGAGTAATGGACTATGTGATCTGTTGTATTACATTAAAGTTAGGTGCCTTGATCGGTTATGCAGGAGACTGGTAGGGTAGCATTTAATTCCCCCTTCTCTTTTCTGGTGGTGGTTGTTCCTGCGACTAATAAATAGTTCTTTGTACATAATGAAAATGTTGAGGTCTACTTGCTGTAACCAGGGTCAATATACTATTGTAATGGATGTGATGTGTTTTTGAAAAGGATTTTCATGTGTGATATTCATGGTAGCTGATTTTGATATCTGTGCCTATCCAATTCTCTTGGCATCTTCCTCTAAAAGGAAGGTCTTGTTGCGAATGATTTGAATGGTTTTCAGTGGTTTTGTTGAAAACTTTTTAAACCTAATTTTGATTTGTTCATACCAAATTATGCCTCAAATGCAATTTGCGGATTGAATTGTGCAAAATAGGCTTGTTTCTTTGTTGACCGTAAATTTCTTGTCTTGAGATGTTAAATTTAGCTTTTGGAAATTAGGAGTAGTTGTGCTTGGTTTCATAAATTGATGAAAAATGAGGCTATTTGGTCAAGGATGTCTGGGATTTCATCAAGTTTTTGAACCAACTACTCAAAGAAGTCCTGGTTTCATTGTTATCCACTTTGGATATTTCCATATGTCTATCTAGGTTGCTTTCAAGAATATTTTTACTGTTTGAGGAACCTGGAGCATATTTCTCCTCTCTCTCTTCTTTTATTGTTGGGTAGTAAAGTTGTATGTCTGACATCTTTTTGTGGTGTTGGGTGGAATTGATGCTCTGATTCTATGCTAACCGGCGTTGGTATCTTCTTTTTCTCCCCTATGTTTTTTCCCTTTCTTTTGACCTCTTGCTGTGGAACACTGAGAGGATAAACCCAACCCCAAAGATAAGATGGAAGCAGCATGAGCATCCACAGCACTCAAATGACGCAGAGAGGGAGAGAAGATAGAGGATACGGCCTTTAGTCTCTGCTGGGACCAAATCAAGATTAGATATTGCTACCTATACGTTAGTCTGCCAACTATATGCTGGAGAAACTGTCAGGTGGTGGTTAGTTGGTGTAAAGAACATGCAATTGTACCCCATAACCCACGAAAATTTGTGATGAAAATTCTTTACTTAACCTTAATGGTTATAGTTGTCTTGTACTATATGCGAATCAAAAGTAAAGTGGGGAAGAGGATCAAAGATTTCCTTTTCTCAGTTTTTTACCCCATAATCTTAACTTTCCAGCAATGAGTTTTGCATTGGATAGAAAGTGTTGATATTTGACAATTTCTAATGATTCCAAGTCTCGTGTTTACATCATCTTTTGTCAAACTATGGAGAATTCTGGACCAAAATGGACAGAGACTCCACAAAACTTGTGTTTCAAAGTGTAACCAGTAAGATAACGAGTGGTTGGCTTGTATTTAGGAACTAGAAAGGGGTGGGGTTTATCAAGTTGTGCATGCTAGAAGAGGCAACTCGTCCTGCTAATTCTTGAGCCAAGTCTTCCTTTTTAAGATCCATACAAATAAACCGAAAGCAATGATAATGATATTTGTAGTAGTTATGTGTTAATAGCCAACATTAATTAGCTTGGGAATGTGCAATGGCAATGATGATAATAGTGACGGTACTTAACAAATTGTATGATACATCACAAATGATTAAGGCAATGGTGTTAACATAATTTAGTTAATCAACAAGACAAGATTACATTTGAGTGATTGCAAAAAGGGTTTCCAAGTATGAATAATTTCTTAAGTTTCAAAACAGTATCTTATATAGTCCTATATAACAATTGTGGATCATTCTATCTGAAGATCAAAGATAGTAGGTTGACCAATGCAAGTTTTGTCCAAAGAACAAGAAACCAGGTTGGGACCCCAATTTGGGTCATATTTAATCATTTTGGTATTTTAAAATTTTATCTGAAAAATTGTTTAATGGCCATATTATTGTTATTTCTAGTGAATTTTACATATTAACACATGAACTTTCCTACAAACAATATAAAAAAGATACTATTTATGCTTTAATTTACAATGACTTTTTTTTAGTACTTTATGAAATTATAAGAACAAATATTTTCTTGATTTATAAAGGCATTATATGTCACGAGTTAAAATTTAAGCTTAACCTTTTGCGGACTTAAACTTTAAAAAATAAAACTTAAATAAGCCTATAAATCACAATTTCACGTTTTCAACTCAAAAAACATATTTAATAGCTGATGAAAGACTCCATATTTATATATCTAAGACCCACTTCATTTCTTAATAATGTGAGATTTATAATTAATTAAATAAATATATAAATAAGTATATAAATTTAAAAAATATAATTAATCAATGGTGAAAAATTCATATTTATATATCAAAAACTCACTTTATCTCTTACTAACGTTAGACCCATAACATTACAAACATGTTTTATTTCTAAAATATTCATAAAATTATGAGTTGCAAATTTTTATTTTTTATTGAAATTGAATTTAAATTGTATGTGCCAAAAAATTAAAAAATATATAAAAAAGAAAAAGAAGAGAAAACGGTGCGGTTTACCCATTAATGACTAGTAAATTACTACTAAAACCCCTCCGTTTTGGCCTCACAAAACCCCTTCTCTCTCTATATCTCTCTTTGTCTCCAACTTCTGTTGATCAACAACCACCTTCATCCGTTGTCCACCGCCTGCTCCGGCCGCCAGTAAGTCGCCCTGCCTTCTATTTCTTCTTTTGCTCTATCTGGGTTTTTCTTTATATTACTCAATCCTAGTATATATTATTGAGTAAAAGTTCATATAAATTCGAAGCTTTTCAGGAATTTGGTTTCTGGTCCTATATAAGTAAGTGTCTGTGTATATTTGTATATTGATGTAACATCAATTTTTTTATGGTGAAAACTGCTAATAATTCTATAAAAATTCAATTTTTTGGATGATTTTCAAACTCTCTGTATATGCATGATACATGCATGTCTTCATGTTTGTATGTATGTATGAATGTATGTATGTATGTATGTTTGTAAGTGAAAAAGTCATATGCATTTGTCAGTCCCTTTTCCTTGGGAAAGCAATAGAAAAGAAAAAAAAAATCTATTTTTATGGCATGTATGGTTGTACTCGAGAGCAAGAAAGGGAAACAGTTTTCTCTTTGCTGTTGTTTTAGAGTAAAGATACTTGTGGGTAACTAAAAATTGTGAAACAGTTTTTATGGAAGTAAAAACTGATGAAAACTGGGGAAATAACAAAAAGTTGTTCTTAGTTTTCCTGAAAGTTGTTTCTTTTGAGATGGTTAGCCGTGGGGGTGTTGTGATTTTGAGTACTACAAGCTGCTATTAATATGGGATTGCTAAACCTGGAGGTGGATTTTTCTTTCCTGATAAAATAACTTGTGGGGTGAGTGAAATAAAATGCGCTTTTCATCACTCTGTTTTTGGTTTAGTATGATGAATTATCAATACTTTGATTGCAATCATAATGATTGTAAAGACATTGTGCAAATCTATTTCCACTTTTTCATTGACATTTAGTCTATTCTAACTTACCTCCTATAAACCTTTTCTGAGCGCAGATGTTGAAGATATTATTTGTCTAAATTGCTTTTCTTTTCTTCAAGTCTTTTCTTCAAGTTTTTTGAGTGTTCACTACAATTTGTAGCTTTTTTCAGGCTATTTTAATGATCCGGGGGCAGGAGTAAGGCATATACCTGTTACAAAAACTGAGGTATATGTGACATTGACTCGGACATTTTGACATAGCTCGGTGATGGATTTTAAATTTAAAGGTATAGGCTGGGTGGGGGGCATTTACCAGAAGTTTGAAACACTGTGCAATGAGGTGGATAATATTGTGAGCCAGGTATAAATTCTTTGATTCAATTATGAGGGAAGCAGTTCTCTGTTTCCTCCCATCTTCATCTGCCATGCTGTGGTATCCCTTGGCTGAATGAAATTATGGGCAATCAGTTGTACTTGTACTTTATACAAGAATGCTTGGCTGGAAAATCTTTCATAATCTTGTAAATGGTTTTATCTGCAGGACACTGTCAAATATGTTGAAAACCAGGCACAAAATGTGGGTAAAAACATGAAGAGATTTTATTCTGATGTCATACATGATATACTGCCTCCTTTAAAATACGAGGGTCAAGGAGTAGCTTTGAAAAGAAGTGCCACAATTGATGTCTATGTTAAATCAAACACTGCTATTGAGGAAGATCACATAGACACTGTTGGTAAGCTAGCACATGTTGAGCCTGTTGTTGATCCTATTGAAAAACAGCTTGATCATGCTTTGAATGAACTTTGCCTTTCAGACCAACTTAGTACTCCAATTTCTGTTGATGCCCATGAGGGGGCAGAGTCTCACATAATATCAGGACAAGTTAATGATGATTTGAAAAATACAGTGAACATTGAAGAAAATTCCATAATGGAAAAAAAATCAGCATCTGAGGTACTAGAGTTGATTTCTCCTAGCGAGGAAGAACCCTTTGGAGCTTCACTGGGGAATGAGGGCATCGATTGTAATGATAAAAATTCATGTGAGGTTGTGGGTGAAGTTTCTCTTACCTTGTCAGTTCATGATTTGGAGTTTCAATCCACTCAAAAGGAGGGAACTGTTAACAATAATATTGCAGTTGATGTGGTCAACAAACAGCTTGATTGTGCTTTCAGTGAGCTTTGCCTTGTAGACCATCTAGATAACCCTAATTCTGCAGAGTCCCTTTTGAGGACAGAATATGTTACTTCAGAACAAGTTGCTGATGTTCTGAAAGATACAAACCCTGAAGTGAACAAAGAAGAAAATGACACAAGGGAAAAGCCTTCAGTATCTGAGGTGTCAGAGTTGATCTCTCCTGCTGAGAAAGAATCCTGTGGAGCTTCATTGTTGAGTGAGTTAACTGATTGTAAGGATAAAGAACCTTGTTGGGTTGAAGCTGAGGTTTCTCCTTCAACTTCAGTTCATGATGTGACAAAGCCTTCTGCATCTGATGTTTTGGAGTTGATCTCTTCTGTTGAGGAAGAATCTTTTGGAGCTTCATTGGTGCATGAGTTTGGTAATTGTAATGGTAAAAATTCATGTGTGGTTCTTGCTGATGTTTCTCCTGCAACTTTAGTTTGTGGTGGCCAAGATGCAAGAATAGTTAGGAATGACTTTGCAGATGACTCTGAGTTTGTCTCAGATGCTTCAGGTGGTATTACTTCTTCCAAAGTCGCATGTTCTGAGGAAAATATGGCTGAGGTTGGAGTTGATTCTTCTTGTGGTTCAGTATTGAAGGAATTGCATGAGAATTTTCCTGAAAACTTTCTTGCGGAAGCATTAGTTAATCATGACCCTGTTGATGTGGCTGGGTTGGTTTCTCACAATGTGCCTTCATCTTCCATGTTGACTCCACTTCTATCCAATGAGAAGAAGTTGATGGGAGCAGTATCAATTCCGTCTAATAATGACCTGTCCGTGGAATCACTTGGTTAGTATGCTGTTCTTATGTAATCATAAACATATATTTTGTGTCCTTATAAGTTAGTTTTAATCTCACTTGTAATTTGTCAGAAAATGATGCATCCAGAACTGTTAATGGTATAAAGTATCTGACTGGAATTTCAGGAAACAAAAATGTTTATTTTAGTGGTGAATCTACTCAACTTCAGGCATCAGATTCTTCTGATATTGGTATGTGAGAAAGATGCATAACTCGATAGCTTTCTTCTCTGCCCTCTTGTTAATTGTGTTACTCTGTCCTCAACTTTATTAATGTCAAATGTCAATAGCAGTAGTTGTAAGTATGATATCAATTATGGTGATAGTGGAGATGCAAACTGTACAATTTCAACCTTGCATGACATAATAATAATACGGATGTTTAACCTTCAGAAACTAGCTTTCTTTACATCAGTGGGCTTTTTCTGTCAATTGGGATACAAGGCCACTCTATGTCCAGTTATTTAATAATATGACTTTAAATATAAAGTTTCTGGAAAAAATTTGTGGGTAATATATTTAAATGGTTCAGTCATTTAGCAATGTGATTATAACAACTTTCAAAATAATCGCATATGTGTATGTTTCTAAAGTGTGAAGCACTAGTCTTTGCCAGTGATAAATGATTTCCTTAACCTTGTGCATTTTTGAAGGACTTGGTTTGCACCATACGCTAAAAATTTCCCTTTTAATATTAGCTTTTGATGCCCTCATTGGACTGAAAGAACTGTTGACCGGCGAACTTTAACTAATTCTTGACCTTCTTTAATTTTTAAAACCATACACAGGACCTATAAATGATTCCACTGATGATATCATAATTTCTTCCATGGAGACCATTGAATTGTCTGACGAGGTGAAGCTTGAGGATAGCTGTGTCATTATTGATAGCAGTGCACTTTATGCTGTCTCTCGTATAATGAGGAAACACAGATCATACAAGGTTTCTCTCTCTCTCTCTCTCTCTCACATACACACACACACACTCACATAGAGTCACATGCATTGACATCTTACTTTCCAACCTGAGAAAATGTTATAGCAATTCTCCAAATGAATTTTCTGGTTACTTAGTGTCAGAACATTCTTGGTGAATAAGTTGTTCACGATGAGAAACATTCGCAATGCGATTAGAAAGTTGATATTATGGTACTCTCTATATACAAGTTATTTGCCAAGTATTTGAAATACTTACAATTTGATAGTGATAGTTACTTTATTCATTTTCTTTTCTTTTTGTTTTTGTGAAGGTGCTAATGCAATTAAATTTTGTTTCAATTTTGTGGGAACCATGAGCAACAATTAATGGTGCTTTTAGATTAAAAAACAAAAATAGATAATCTTCACCCAGATTCTGAAATGGAAGGATTTAGAAGTTAATACTACATCAATTGAAATATATGGTTGAAGAAAGGGAAGTTAGAAATGAGGAATACTTGGTATGTGGAGGCCAACTATCTGTTTGAGACGTACATTTGTATATAGATGAATTTTAAGCTCCTCTTATGTTATGCTTTAGATAAATAGGACACAATTAGGATATCATATGCCATATCTAATAGCTTATTTATCTTCTATAATCTTTAGCTAATTTGATTTGCCTGCTGCTTTTTTTATTTTCTTTTAATAGAAAAGGATCCAGGACGCATTAACCTCAAAAACAAGGCTGACAAAGGAGTATGAGCAACTAGCAATTTGGTTTGGAGATGCGGACATGGGATCTAACCAAGATTTTTTACAAACTCGACGACCATCTTCCTCCACCACACCCTTGGAGTGCAAAAGTTTGCAAACAGAACTTGTATGTGATTCTGAGTGGGAACTCCTCTAAGTAAATAAAGAAACTAGGTTGGCTGGCTTCAACCAGATTCATTCTCAAGCCTTTGGCTCGTGCCATAAGAATGAGTTACACTGTGAATAATCATGTTCAAAGTTTAACATTATGTAAAGGTGTTTACAAATAAAAGGGCGGTTAACCATTCTGTCTTGTAAATGAAATAGTCTGTCATAAGTGCAGCAACATTTCACTTTTAACAGTACATATTATTTATATATCTCTTTCTTATACATACTGAGTAGCCTGGAGCCATTTTTTTTCTTCCTATTAAGCTTGATAGCTCTCTTGTTAATGAAAAGAATGAAATAGATGCCAATCACTAATTTTGGTATCAATATACATGCTTCCTTTTTTAGAAGCAATACTATTTTGGGGTTGTCCTGGCGAGGTTACAAAACGTTTTGGTAACTCTGCAACACATATGCAAACAAAATCTCATTCCATGTATCAGGTACTCCTGGTAAGCACCAATGAATGCAATCAGCAAAATTTTTTGGGTTAGCTCTCTGTTTCTTTGTCAAGAGTCTGCCCCTTCGTTCCCCAAAAACTGTTGTATGAGCATCTTTCCTGTATTCTGACAATTGGGTGATGTTCAAAAATGTGACATTGATTTTAAGTTCTTGTAAGATATCATGAATTATATCCATGATAGCTAGATTAGACCCTGTGCCCCAATATGAACCTTGGATCGGGTAAGACTCATTGAAGCAGTTTTCATTACTGCCTGGCTTCCATTCCCAACTCCTACAAAAGAAAATTTTACAATAATTACAAGTTTTATTCCCACTTTTGTGTTGTTCTCCTGACTAAACGAGAGGTCTAATCAAATATGGAAAACAGAGAGACCGGCCTTTGCTAGTTAAAGCCTTTAGCTCAGATGTGATGTCATGCAAACAGTAAAACTCACCACAAGTGTGTTGGGGACATACTCATGAAGAAGACCTTTTGTAAATGAGGATTAATGTTGGATTCTAGCCAATTTGCCCAAGTCTCCAATGCAATTCTGTAAGCTGTGGTGACATTGTATTCTTCGACATTGTCCATGGATCCGTAGCTGAAAGCAAATAACCAGAAAAAAGAAACTATTACCTTCTGTCAGGTTCCAAAATTTCTCCTCAATTTGAGAAGTTTCACAGCATAAAAACTTTCCAGTTTCCTTTTCCTGCCCCATGTTTTGACAGTGTAGGATTTTATGCCACAACTACTATGATGTCTTCAGTTCATTCTATGCTGTTCAAGAAACCGGCAACTGGTTGAAATTCCATGACAGCTTCTGACAGAAAAAACCTTGAGACAATGGCATTTGCATGATTCAAAATTATTATTATGTCTAGTATAACCTGGTTGATGTGCATATCTACTGAAACGCTTGGAAGAAAAGAAGAGAAACTAGACAGAAAGTGGTAGCCAGTACTTACGTAGCGTTGATCTGAGGTTTGTACATCCACCATACATAGCTCTCAAATACTAGGACATCAACTCCTTCCCAGCTCTTGCCATGTTTAGATATGGAGTCAAGGTTGACCAGCCGTTTTAGTACAGTATGATTCGTTGCATGATCTGAATTAGATTCCACAATGAATGGAGCCCAATAGTACTCAATTGATGCATTGTACTCCTGAAATCAAATCCGGAAATATTCCCAAGTTTATCAGAGGCAACCACAATAAAAAATCTGAAAAACTTGGGAACTATAATCAATGGAGATGAAGGTTAAGTACCTTAGCTTTAAAGATCTTCCTAGGAGGAACTCTCTGAAAGGATTTCTTCCCTTTGGGAATTACAGATTGTAACAAACAGACCATTGATTCAAATTGGGCTCTCTGAACTGAGTCTCCTATAAACATCAATCTTTTGTCCCTCAAAATGTCCAATAGCTTCAGTGGATCAAACCTGGAAGATCACAGAACATTTTAGATGCTTACAGCACAACTTTGGATAGTATCTGAATACCCTATTTGCTTTCAATGCGAGAACTTATTTTCTGCAATAAAACCATCACATCAATGGGATAAACTATAAACTATGTAACATAGATATTATAGATAGTATATCTATTTGCTTTTGCATTAATACATAATAGAATAAATTTATCATAACGACCAAGAATATTGTTATATAGAGTCTTAGTTAGGCCTCCCAAAGTAAAGCATCTGGATCCGCCAACATATATGTTGCTTTGACACTATTTTTCCTAATGCACCTATATCAGACAGATATCAAGATACCCTAAGGAGGATACAGATCCCAGGTGTGACCCTCCAAATAGAAAGGGAAGTCTGTATCTGAGTTCAAGCAGCATAGGCAAAGGAGATAGAATCAAATGCTTGCACAGGAACATACCTTGGTAGTTTGCATGCATTAGGCTGCCACCTCCAGTTTTGGTAGAAAGAATCAGGCCTGCCATTTTTCAGACAAGTAGTCTGCTTAACCAAGTAAGGGCAGCTTTTTTCTTTATAAAGAGGATATGACACATTGTCCCACACCCATTGCCCTTCAAACAGATTGCAACTATCATCCATCCGATCTTCTGGCAAAACAAAAACTGATTTCCTTTGCTTCTCTGGCTTGCCATAAAACTGAAAAACATAGCTTCTGCCACTCTTCAAGCTGTCAAAGACTAGTTGTGCTGTTCCTAGCACAAGCAGGGAAGCTAATAAAACAGGAAACAGTGATTGGATCCTTGCTGCAGATTGTGTCTTCATTGAGCCGAAGAGGATGGCAAAATTTTGTTGTATTTCCTTTGAGCTCATATGTTAGTTACAGTTTTCAATGTATTTGAAGGCTTGTCTTGAAACTTAAGCATCTAAACAAAAAAAAACAGAAAAATGCTCCATGTACCCACCAGTTGTTAGGACCAAGCTTAGGTAGCAGGTTAAGATATTCAAGTCTTCAGCACCAGTTAGAAGTTTATCATCATGAAGGAAAGTGGGTTTTCATTAAAATAAATAAAAAGAAATTTGCGTCCTCCCCACTCCCAACAGAGAATTATATTTCTTTCTAATTTCTATACTTTAAAAAAGGTGCAGCATCAAACTCCCCAAACTAGACTATGAACATCAGTTGTTGGTGGCTTTGAGTTTGCTGGTTCATGCTTTACAATCTTCCATACTTTCAGATCCTTTGGATTGTGACACTTCGGGGTTGGAAAACAGATTCAAGTGGAAACTTGAATGATGGATTAAGGCTTTTAGAAGTCATGGCCGAACTGATTGCCTTTTGGTCAGTTGGTCATAAATCCATGTGCGCCTTTCCTTGTCAATTAAAATTCTTAAGACCCCCTTTTTTACCTTTCTATTGATTATAATACACCCTTGCACCTTAACCATTTTTCAAGATAATTGCATTTATGAAACAGGATTATTTAAATTTATTTAGAGGAAAATCAAACTGAAACTCTCATTATGCCCTGCAATTTGGGCAATAAAGAGTTGGAAAATAAAATAAAAAAAAATACAAACATGAGTAGATTAATATATAATTTGAAAATCTCATTAAGTATCTATTTAATTTAATCATTTTGTTTAAAAAAGATAAATCAGATGTTTCGAACTCATATCAATATTAAATAAATAATATTTAAAAAAATTATAAATATAAATACTACATATCTTATAACGTTAATTTTTCTTTTTAAAAGATAATTTTGTGATATAGTAATATAAAAGTATATCGAATTTAAACTCGATTCACATCAAACATCTAACTAGAAATTTATTTATTAATAATTGTTATTCAAAAATTGAATGAGATTTTTAATAAATTAAAAATATATTTATGATAAAAAAATACTCTACGGATTAAACAAAGCTTAATATTTTTCTTTTTTTATTAAATAATAAAAAAGGAGAAGAATGACCAATTTTAACTTAAAAAAAAAAGAAGAGAAATCTTCCCTGTTCCCACTTCCGACCAAAAATCTAAAACTAAAACCCTGGATGAAACCTCACCCGCACTTCCCAGTTTAGCCCCAAGACAAGAGCAACAAACCTAAGACCTTTAAGCCCCTTGATATTCAAAAAGACCCAAAACCAAAAGGAAAAATCTCTGTCCACAACACCCATTTTGTAGAGATGATCCCGAGTGGAATTTACAGCCTTCGCAGCATCCGCTTGCCTCAAAAACCCATTTTTCCTTCACTTCTTCGTACTAGAAAAACCTTAACTACAACCTCAAGCTCTGTTTCTATCAACAAGAAGAAAGAGAAGAAAGAGAAGGTTATAGTAATATCAGGACCTACTGGGGCAGGGAAGAGTAGGCTTGCTTTGGAACTTGCAAAGCGTCTCAATGGTGAAATCATCAGTGCTGACTCTGTTCAGGTTACTTCAGTCATTAAAAAAAAAATTATTTGTTTGTTTGCTCTTTTTCATTTTGTGAAAGAAAAATGAAAAAGAAAAATTGGGTTTTTGTTTTGGTGCTGTTTGAGCTTGGTTTTTGTTTGTTTTGTTTGGTTACTGAGAAAATTTTTGGGTTTTAATTGTTTCTTAAGTATCGTTTATTCTCACTTTAAGTGGATTATTTAATATTGTTTTAATTGCAGGTTTATCGAGGTCTTGATGTTGGGTCTGCGAAGCCTTCTTCAAGTGATAGAAAGGTGCCTAATTATAGTATATTAGTACATGCTTTGCATTTTCCTTTACTACGATTTTCAACTTCTGGGTTATACATGGAAGGAAAAGATGATGACTTTCAAGTTTTAACATATTTCGCTGTTAATGTAATCTGCATTATTAGGTCCATGAAAATGTTTTGATTTTGATGCAAATAATAATGAATTTTTATACTAATGTGTGGAGGATTGAGTGTGTTTGTTTTGCTCTTTGAAGCTTTTGCATTTTGCTATGTTGTTGTACTTTGACAGTTTCATTACTCAATGGGCACTGTATTCCACACTTTCTAATTTTTTCAGTTCATAGTCTTTTAAACATATATGTCCTCTTCAGGTTGCACCTTTTTGGTTGAAGTAATGATTTCCGAACTCTTAGTGTATGAAGGCATTGATCCTTTTCCTTGTATAATTATCCCAAAAGAAAAAAGTGACTCCATATTCTTTACTAGTTAATTCTCATTCACATCATGCACTGTTTTGCCTGCGATGAAATCATTTATTTTGCCTGTGGGTTTTAAAAGTCTGAAAGTTCTCAAAACTTTGATGCATTTAGATTGAAGGATTTATGACTTTCAAATCTTCTTGCAGGAAGTGCCTCATCATCTGATTGACATATTGCACCCATCTGAAGGTACGTAGCTGCTGGTTCCAGGCTCCCAGCTAATGTCAATGAGGCATATTATGGCATCTTTTTATTTTCAGGTGAAATTTTGGTTCTGTATTTATGATTTACTTAACTGACTAAACATTTTTTTTCTATTCCAATGCAGACTATTCTGTAGGACAATTTTTTGAGGATGCTAGGCAAGTGACAAGAGATATACTTAATAGTGGCCGTGTTCCCATCGTTACGGGTGGGACTGGATTGTATTTGCGATGGTATGTTTCCACGTATCCTTTTGTATAGGTGAGCTTTTGATGAATTCTAGTTTCTTTTATCCAAACTAATTTTGTTGGATAGCAATTTGCATTTGCTGCTTAATTTTGGTCTCTCTCTCTCTCTCTCTCTTCTTTGCCCCCCACCTCTCTTTAGAGCACCTAGGGTAGCATTGATTCATGTTACGGTTTAAATATGTTGCAGAATCAGATTTTTCCTATTGGGACTTCATGTGTAGTTGAATTTTCTTGCTCAAAAGGTGCTGAAAAACAACCTAGATGGAGATATTCAATATTGTCTTGCTTTTGGAAATGTTAGGTTTATATATGGAAAGCCAGATGTTCCAAAGGCCTCTCTAGAAATTGCAGCTAAAGTATATTCCGAGCTTGCAGATTTTGAGAGACATGGGGACTGGGAGAATGCTGTGCAGTTGGTGGTCAAGGCGGGTGATCCAAAGGCCCAGTCTTTAGCTGCCAATGATTGGTATCGCTTACGGCGTAGCCTTGAGATAATCAGGGTATGATTGTTGAGATGATTTGACCTACATAGATCAATGGAAGTGTCTTTCTCTTCCTTCTGTCTCACTGTAAGAATGCACACACACACATAAAGCTCAGATGTCTTGAGAATAGGTGTTCATCTTTATTTGGTATCTTTTGGTGTGGCAGTCTAGTGGATCACCTCCATCTGCTTTTCAAATACCGTATAATTCTTTTAGACATCAAATTGATTCAAGTGAAACAACTGACTCTCATGACTTAAACTCTTCTGCTGATGCACCTGGGCAAGATACTGTGAAGGATTTGGACTACGAGTTCATTTGTTTTTTCCTCTCAAGCCCCAGGCTTGATCTCTATAGGTTGATTGATCTGCGGTGTGAACATATGCTTTCAGGTAGGTCATATTACTCTGATCTATGTCTTCTGTTTCTTTAGAATTTAAAGATTTTGTTTCTTAAGTTTGTGCGATGGATTCAATCATCTGCCTGTGAAATATGATTTGATTTTCAACAGATTTGACATTTTTCTTTGAGAAGAATGTTTTTATTTTATCATAATTTAAATAATTGGCTGGGTTATTAGTTTTATTATCAGGAAGCCTTGTGAATCTCATTTAGTAGTGGCTGTGTTTATGTGCAGTATTTTTTTTCCTTTGCTTAAAACAAACAACTCCTTACTGGTATTCAATTTATGTTGCTTGGCTTCGATTATAGAAACAGATGGTATTTTGTCTGAGGCTAGATGGCTTCTGGATACGGGTCTTCAACCTAATTCAAACTCTGCAACTCGAGCAATTGGTTACAGACAGGTTTATTTTTGTATGCTTTTTTCCTTTTTTTTTCCCTTTATGTTATGATGTGGAAACAATGGTACCTTTCTGATTCATTTCTTGTGCCTTAGAATAGGCTTATATTTATGAATTCCATCTAATGTGTTCCATGTCATTCCCTTGTAAAGTAACTATACAAAATCTGTTGAATAATTAGCTTCTTCTAAATTATGAGTTATAATGAAATTAAATGACAAAGTTAGTGAAAAAAAAAATCAAAGTTGAAGCCATATATCTTGAATCTAGCAGTCTAGCACAAGGCAAATGCATCTAATTACCTAATCAACAGTTTCTTCTATATCCTTCCTTTCATGTTCTAATAGCTAATGCTGTCTGACTTTGATTTCTAAAAGGCATCTTAAGTCTTGAACTGCTTAGTATGTAATATTGCTATACCTTGCAGCTGTGCAACTTCAACATCTTAATAGATTTCTAGTTAGGCCTCCAGCTATGAATGCTGATTTAATATGATTATGCACATTAAGAATTGGCTAAAAAATTCGTTACATTGCTCTCGTAGCTATACAATGTTTACTATTATGCTGTTTCTGGAATGCACAATTATCCTATTTAGTTCTTCGCTTGATTTTGCTGAATTTTTCTCTTTATTGGATATTTTATTTTGCTTTTCCAATGTCTGAAAAGAAATGGCAGGGCTCATTTGGTGTTTTATCATAAACTGATTTCAGGCAATGGAATACCTGTTGAGGTGTAGGGATGAAGGGGGCATTAGTTCCACCAGAGACTTCTATTACTTTTTGTCTGAATTTCAGAAAGCTTCCAGGTATTATTTTTATAACTTCATAGCAACACGGTTATTATTTTTACGTTGCAAATCTGAAGTTGTTTTGTAATGTCTGTCACATTGTACTTTTGATTTAATTATTAAGTTTGTGCAGCATTAAATTAGGTAAAACGTTAGTTAATTTCATCTTTTCATACATCAAATGCATTGACTTATGATACATACTTAAAAATGTATAATTAATTTTGAAATATGAGCTT